ATCTGAAACAAACAAAATACCATAGTTTATGTATGGAACTATAATACATGTACCTTAAGCCTGGTTCTCACTAGACACACAAGCCAACATAAGCATAAGCACAAGCACAAACAAACCCAAGAAAAACAAAATCTTTTGTTCTCTTGCATTTGTGTTTGTGCATGCATCACTTTGTTTCATAGTGAAACATGCACTACCTTGGAGTTACTTCTGCTTGAACCAGGCTATAGATTGCTATAGTTTTATGATGAAATTCAACCTTGTAGCAATGCTGGTGTGTGGGTTGATAGATGTACAACCAAAGCAAAAGTTGAAAGTGAGCCAAATGTGGGAATATAAGTTTTGAGAACTTTGTAAATCAGCAGCACAGATGAACACAGATGCAGCACAGATGAACATTTACAGTAATGCTAATATGGACTTATAACTTACTGTAATTATAAAATAATTATAAATCTCACGTTCTGATTGGTCGTGAGCATGTGCTTTATGAGATTACAGAGCATGTGCATGCACTTTTAGCTGCATTATTCATATCCAAAATAACAGTTATCGTAATTTTCATTTTATGAAAGAAATAAAAAACTTGCTTGCTGTGCTGCGTTTAGTGTTGAGAAGCACTCCGCTACTTGCTAGCCTCTCCTCTTCTCTCGTTTTCTGGAAGCCCCTGATTGCTTTATAAGTGCATACAGCACCTATAAGCATTTTCCATTATTTTTATTAGTAGTAGTATGAAAACTGCTCTACTGTATAACTGTCATGTGACATACCTTTTCCATGGGAGTTCTAGTTGGTCTAGTCCTATCAGGTGACTCYTGCTCTTGCTTCATGGCTGCAGTCACTACTGGACTTGCTTCTGGGACAAGCAATGAAATGAAAGGAACATTACACATTAAACCAACGATTGACCAATTTAGTTGAGGCATAAATTTTTGCCCATTTCAGACCAATTGTCATTCCCTTATGCCTATGGTACTAGAGTTTTTCTCTGGGTCCTCTACACATAGTTTTCCTCTCTCTGTAAACATCAATGTTCTGTGTTTAATTCTAATTTCATTTTATCATCAGAGGGTCACATGTAATGTTACCAAGATAATTCTTCATGGTAAATGTGTAGTTCCAAAAATTATCCAAAGGTGGGGGATCAGAAAAAGAACAAAATACAGAGTTTGTATGGAAGAAAATTGAAATCTCCAGGGGTAAAAAAACCCTCTGTAGGGAAGGGGGGGGGGGGCATTGGGTGTGGATAATTTCTGGAACTACACAGTATATCTTTTYCAACTCAAACAAAGAATCTGATTCTCAAGGGAATGGCAAGTGATCTGAAATGTGATCATAAATATTTGAGTAGATATGAGACCAATTTGAATAACTTTTATCCAGCCTCTCATACATGTGCTTCCAGGTGGAAACACGGCTAGTCAGTCTCTAGTCAATGCASAACAATATTTTAGCATACGTAATTTTGAAAATTTGGTACTAAATAAAGATTGATTGATTGATTGATTGATGRAATCAACTTCACCCTATGAAAAGATGACTTGTATTACTACTGTACCTGATGAAAAAACCTCATCAACTAGATCTCCAACTTGATCAAACATTCTACTCAATGAATCTTTACCTAAATAAGTATATATTAAATTGAACAAAATAAAATAAAATAAACATAAACATTTAACAAACTTAAGACTGCACTATAGTCTAAGAGTGGTCAATGCGAAAAGATTTGTACAATACACACTGTACACAAATGAATTGTCTAAGTATTTTCCTTATAACATTTTKATACTACTGTACACACAGAGATGTACAGTTTACTGGTCAGGAAGTCCATTTTCAAGACTGAGGGGAGACCTTTTTTTTCCCTATATCTCCTATATTTCCTTTATTGATGTTTGTATGTGTTTAATATTTGATTTTATAAAGTATATCGCAATTCAGCCAGCCAGGAGGCTGCAATGACATGACTAATAGAGGTATCTATCCAGTCTTTTTCTATCCAGATAGACTTTAGGATGGTAAAAACTGTAGCTTTTTTTCCTTTTACTTTTCGACTTGTTCAGCAATCAGCATGCATATGTGTGGATGATATCAGGATATTAAACTGCAGGCAAATACTGAAAATACAGCCTGCTTAAACAGCCAATCAGATATCAGGATACTGGACTGTGGGCAGATACTGAGAAAATATGGCCAATCAGAATGCATGATTTTTAGGATATACAATATATATGTATACATTTTAAGACATGTTATAATTAATATGCATATACATATGTATAATAATAAAGGAAGGATAGGGACTTACCATCAGTCAAACTATTGGCAAAGTACTCCCTATAGTTGAAATCAGATACCAAATTTTTAAAATAACTAAAATCAGGGATGCTGTCTGGGCCTGGAARCAAATTTTTAATCCATCCATTATCAGGTAGACTTTCATAAAAACTTTGCCATTTGTCCTTTAACGTGTCGTATTTCTGGAAAGAAATTAGAATAAAGTTGAAAAACAATCCTTGTTCTAAGTATATTACAGCGTTTTTGTTGTTTGAAAAGTTGTATATTAAAGATGTGAAATTTGCTTGATGAAATGCAATTCACGTCTTTAAATGATAAAGAATTAAGTGCTGCTCTGACGAAAATCGCTCAAACTTGGATTCAGCTGAAACTTCCTAAGAACCAGGGCTCTGGCATAATTCATTTTTTGGCGCATGTGYAGTTTTCTGGAAGTGAAATATAATCAATGAAAACTATGCTTTAAAACAGAGTTCTGTGTCTATTTTTGATCAAAATAAAAATTAGAAATCAAGACCATATTTTTTTTTTTTTTTTGGCAAGTCTTTCAACGCATACGCTCTCATACTGGAAGACCAAAAAAATCCTGGTCTTAAAAAATGGATTATGCCAGAGCCCTTGTTCTTCGCCACAGGCCATAAGAAACGCAGGCTCTGGGTACAAGATTGTAAATTTTCCTATAGTTGCCCCCTCAGCRTCCCATAATGTCTTGATTAAAAKAATTTAGAATTCAAGATGGCCGCCATATTGGTAAAAAGGTCCATTGGCATTTATGCTGTCMATCAGTGTACATACCATTTTTGCTCCCACAGCACCAGCTCCTGCTGCCCCAAGCAGCAAATACCTAACCTTAGCAACTCTCATAACAGCCCTAATAACTTGAGTAGTAAATGTTCTTTGTCCATGCAAGCTCTTTCCAATAGATATCCTTGTTATATAAGCATGTACGTCGGCATCAATAATTCTAAAAGGCCGAACATTTCTGTTTTTTATACGGAGCAACGTATGAAAGTAGTAACGTTGTTGGACACCAGTAATGACTGGATATAAGGGATTAGATCCTGGAGTACTCTTGTTGATAACTGCATGGTACGTCCCTCTGCTAGTGGTGGCTGCTTTCTGTATACACTGAGGACACTGCCTCTGCCTGGAATGATACAATTAAGAATACATGTATTATAACAACAGCCCTTTTTCAATTCTATAAATCTTTTTTATTGTAGTTTGGGCATACTTTTTGTTCCATTTCAAAGTACATATCATTCTCTTGGGAATAGGTTTATTGATTTTTAAAATGGCAATCATATCAATGTGTGTCATAAAACATTAAATACATGTACTAGTTAATAAACAAAGGCAAGTCAATTATAAAAAATTTTCTATATATATTGAATTGAATTGAAGACTTTATTTAATGAGAGTGACACGTAATTATGTTAACTGATAAATTTGTGGCCCTCCATAATAGCCTTGAAATCCCTGAAACTGAAGGGAAGCTTTTYGAAAGTTAAATACCTACTGTCCATGAAGGTTATGAGTCAAGTGAGAAAGGTGGAGAGGTAAAGGAGAAAACAATGGACATCGATCTGCAGTATTTATGGAAGATGAAATTTGAATTCTATAGTCCTTTAAAATTTGAAAAAGAGAATATTTTGCACTCTTAAGAATCCATTATTATACCACGAGCAGTTATCTAGCGTGATCGTTATTGTATAGTGTACAAAAATAATATATAATTTACAATACACGGATGTATTTTTAACACCTTTGATAAAATAGACAAAGAAATGTCTTCACGTTTAGACAACTGTCAATAAAAACGAATAATTCTTTAGGTGTAAAATAGTCAAGATCGTAAAAAATGAACGCTATTGCTCAATGTAACGATTCTCAGCTAAGAATCGTGATATTGAGCAGAAAAAATGCTTCAAGAACAGAAATACTGAGAATAAATTTATGAGTGTTTGTAAAAAGAATGGTAAAACGTTTCACAAGAGCTTCAATTTAAACAATACTTACGTAAAGACACCAGTTATCCTGAACATTTTATCAACGCCACAGGCTAAAACTTTGTTTTCTCTCTGTATATTCTTGAACTTAGCTCATGGTAGAGACATTATTGGGTATTTTTTGAGGGTTTTTTAGAAGATTCCATCAGATTCACATCATAGCGTCGGCCATCTTGGATTTTATGAAATCCCGCGCTATGCATCAATGGACATGGGTTCGCCTCTCGATCTAGTCTCTCACGGTATCTACAAGTAACGCCTGGGCAGATTTGCCCTTTTGCTTTCTTTTGTTTATCGAAGAAAATTGATATCACGTCTTCGTTATCATATTTCATTTTTATTTGAAAAGGCAATTATCTCTCACGTACGTAGCTTCTTATTAGTCCTTATATATTCTTGGAGGTTTTAAGTCATTTATATTAGCCAAGGCCGTTTGATTTCGTAAATGGGAAAACCCCCTTGGCCAGAACAGCTGTTGACTTTTGGACCTGAAGTGCAAAAAGTTCTTAAAAGACAAACGTTGCGTAATACGAATGATTGGTAACAGTCATATGTCATTTATTGGTAAAAGGTCATAAAGGTGCTAGAAATTTCTTGCCCTGGAAAAACGCAAGCTCAAGCTGGTGCCATTTAAACCAAAATTATCTTTACTGTAAATTCAACTTCGACGACGATTTCCCAAGGTAAAGGTATGTCAAGCAATCCAGGGCTTCGTCATCCTCTACTCAACGACAGGAAGACGTCGGAAACCTGTTTTGACGACAGTGGAGAACCGAAACTATCTACATTAGCGGATCACCTTGGGATTACTGAGATCGATGCTCTTCATGACTTTTCGTCAAGTCGGAGTAGTGCTGGAGACAGGAAAAGCCATCAAAAAGGACGGGAAAGTCCAACTGTTGTCTTAACTCAGGAGCAAGTGAACAATTTGATTCAAACCCTGGAAAATACTGGGAATGCTCTCAAACAGCTGACTTATCGTGGAAGTGAAGTTGCACCTCATAGAAGGTAACTTTCGTTGTATTTAATGCATGTAGTGCACGAGATTCTCAGTGGACATCTAATAGTAATAATAATAAACACATTTATTAAGGGTAAACATGAAATAAAAAGTAATATACGGATAGGCTACTTGTACAGCGCACTTGGGGGGGGGGGGGTACTCCCACATATGGACTATATGGGGATGATCCGCTCAACAGGGTATGGTTTTTCAAGCTTCTTGTCATTAATAGGGTTATGCAATTTCGCTAAAGTTCCAACTTTTTTCCTGAGTTTCCTGTCATATTCAGGGTTTCTACTTTCGTATTGACCAAAACTGGTTACTATTGTCTTCAAAAAACGACACACAAGCTGACATGATAATTGAAACATTGAAACAGGAACTCAGTGCAATTAATTATATCTTTTGTCATAAACAGAGTCTACAAATTTGATTTTTTTGTCATAAACAGGGTACCACCCATTTCAGAATCCCAGCGGAACACCCCTACCCAAATCCTAGCAGAGTACCCCCCTCCCGGACAGCGTAGTACTCTTATTGCCATGACTGTAATAATCCATCTAATTAGGTTTAGAAGTTTTAATGGTTTATTAGGACAGGGAGATGTATCTACAATGTAAACTATGAGATTTTGTTTCTATAGACCAAGGATTCCAAGATGGATAATATCCCATCTTTTGATGATTACAGCTCTTTGGCAGGTCAGTTATGTGATATTAGAGTAACCAAAATGCATAAAAATGAGATGGACCTAAGTTTAGAAAATCAAGGGTGGTGTATACATGTAGCAGTAGTGTGCAGACCCTACTAGTTATTATATATAATGGCTCTCACGCACCTCTGGGATCTGGTTTTATTCACATGCACATGTGAGTGCATGCATGAATGCATGGTATTAGGGTCTACCCCTTGATTCTATCATAGTTTTCTCCTGGTTCTCTGTTGTTGTTGTTTTTACTTAACAAAATGCTATGCCAAAGTGGTTGTTTTAAGCTATGGAGCTATGGAGTTTGATAAATTTGAAGTTTGGTCACCATGCATGGCCTTTTTGAATTGCCTCGTATTTACCATGGTTTTCGTTGTTATGTGCTAACTGAGGAAAATTGGGGAGAACACTGGCACCGTCAATCAGGGTAATTTGTAAAGGTACCGAAAAATCTCTTTTGATTGACGGCAGTGTATTGTCTGATTACCCTCGTGCATCTGTTGTCTCGATTAGCATGTAGCTGCAATAAAAACAGTGTTTACAAAATACTTTTCATTATAGTTAATACTACCAAGATGGCTGCAATGTGTAGTGTATTGCACATGACATAGTCATTATTTAGCACACATGCATAAGATCCACTATTGTTCTGAATAAATTGTTTGACAGATTTCTGACTAGTTGCATGGTTGCTCCATTTTTTGTTGTTGAAATCCTTGTTGCCAAAATGTAGTATTTAGGGATCTCGAGAGAAAAACCATGCTTGCAACCCATCATTTGATAATATTTTGAATGTTTGGGTAACAAAGTTCAATTATACAAACAACAGTCACAGAGCTGCAAGTTCAATTATATGAACAACATGCACAGAGCCTGAAGTGTTTACTATTATCATTATTTGCAATGATTTGATTTTTTTTCCCAGATAACAGGGACTTTGGCGCTGGCAATCTTAAAAGGCTTCACAGCACACAGAAAAGATGAACGATCTACCTTTATTTTGGTAAGCATCACACAGTAAATCATTAATATCTCGTTACCACCTGTTTTACAGTACTGTACAAGGCTCTAGATCTCATGAAGTACATAAAATTAAGGGTAGCAATATACAAATGGAGAAATAATCTGAAATCTATATTGGGTATTTATCAGAGTATGAGACGATCACAACAGAGCTATATACATGTAGGCTCCAAATTAGGTGAAAGCTCAATGATCAAATCATAATTTAGAATTTGATTTTTGAGGAAGGAGGAAACCAAAGCAGAAGAGAACCAAAATTGCAACAACTCTACTCATACTACAGGCTGTATGATGACATTGGCGGGACTCGAACCTGGGTCACATTGGTGAGAGGGGGCTTGAGACATGTCAAGCCCTCAAACCACAGGAGAGAACCAGCAAACAACACTACTCATGCTACACTGAGATTGGCAGAACTCAAACCTGGGTCACATTGGTGAGAGGTGGAGCATTTAACAGCACACATCACTGTGCTTCCATGGCAATGTTGAATTGCATAAACTGCGTCCTTTACCTGACAATGGAGCCGTTAACTACATTTTCTTTAGAGTCAGTGATCGTTCACTCACATATGGTTGTGTAGTTCCAGAAAAATATCCATACTCAACCCATGGAAGAAATTGGAAATTCTGGAGGGAGGGGGGGTCAGAGAAAGAACAAAATTTCAGAGTATGTAGGGAAAAAACTTGTAAGTTCCTTGGGGTAGGGAGTGCTTTTACAAATTCCCTCTGTGCTGCATGGGGGTATGGATATTTTCTGGAACTGTACATTATTATTTATAGGTAATATATATTGATTTTATCTCATTACAATTTTTTTATTTATTATAGACAATAGCAATACTGGTTGTGATACAAGCAGTCAATCTTCTATTGGTTTTTGTAACTTCAGGTACATTTAATTCCCAGCATTTTTAGCAGAACCTAACACCACAGCCTAAATAATGTAGATCATATTGTTAATCCTGAAAATGTTTCAGAACCTTTTCAATTATATTTGTGCCATTCTATCCATGTGTCTATATGATATGTCCCAAATGCAACCTAACTGGTCAATTGCCCATTTTATAAAAGAGTTTAAGACTTGAAAAAAGTTTGTTGTGCAAAGGCATTTGGGATTAATTGCTACAGTACATAGGATGCTTTTCTGTTCAATTTGCATTGTAAATATGGTTTGTTTCGATGACTGTTACTGCATTCTACATCATTACTGATATATACTAACTACATCATTACCAGCCGAGTGGTGAACACAGACTGTGCAAAGCATGATTGGAGAAAATGACCTGCCCGAAGCAAACATGGCAGTTTTAGTGAAATTGTTTTTATTCTTCCTTTCCACGTTTCTGCTTCTTGTAGGCACATGTATTATATTTAGTCAAAAGAAAACAAAAAATATGCAAAAGTTGGGATACAGTAGCCTTGGAATAAGGGCTGGTGGTAAAACAGCTAAACATGCTGTGATTGGCTAAAAATTCTCTACTCAGCTGGTACTGATACGATATCACTCTAAAAATCATATAAAACAAAGGAAAAGCATGTTAGTAACCTTTTCATTTGCTTTGCAAGTGTGACAAAATTCTCCCTAAGTCCACCAATTGTGTTTAAATTATGGGCAATCTATTGAATCACCCAGAGGGTACCCAGAGATTGATCTGACTGTTAAATTATTTAATGTTATATTTTCAGTGAAACTCACCAAGCAGTTCCTTCACCAAACTGTAACCAAGTCATTTCTTGCACAGTCATATTTATCTATGACACTCTTGTATGCTGGTCTCTACACTCTGGTGTATAATATTAAGGTTTGTTACTAGATGATTCCTCTGTCCCATCCTGAAATGCAAATCATGTTATATACGTTGTGTATAGTTCCAGGAATTATCCATACCCCCCCCCCCCCCCCCCCCCCCCATGGAGGAAGACCCCCCCCTGGAAATTCCAGTTTTCTTCCATACAAACTCTTTAATAGATCTAATTCACTGTTTCCGCATTTCAGACCACATGTCATTCCCAAGAGTATTATTTCTTTGTTTAACAGTTGCACATGAGAAGACACATGAATATGGATACGACTCAAACAAGGAATCTTATTCTCAAGAGACTGACACGTGGTCTGAAATGGGCAAAACATTATATGACAGATGCTCTAAAATGGGGAAAACATTATGACCAAGCTAAAGGGGTGAATAAAGGTGCTGCAAAAAGAGCATTTTATGATTGGATGCTTCCTGCTACATACTTAATAATGGAAAAATCCATGCAGCTAATATCTAGTAAGTAGATCTTTTTATTGAATTGCAGCATGAAGCCTTTGAAGAATCAACTGATGGCCTCAAAATCGGTGACTCTGCATTTTCATCATTTGTCCTGTTTTCTAACATGTTATACTATTCAATAAGTACGGCTACACTGTGTGGTAAGTAAGACCATCGATCACTGTCACTACATATTCTTCTCATTACAGCATGAATTATCTCCTTCATGGATTAATGACCTTCAAAAGCCTTCAAATTTATTGAAACTCTGACATAACCTCTGGGATGGTCAAAGTCAGAGCACAACTAATTTACACAGAATTGAAATTTAGCTTTGCAAAGGGAGGAAAACTGGAGAATTTATCAATACCTTTAAATCAAGGGAGAGACCTACATAACAAACTCTACTCACATGTGATGCCGAGTCCAGGATTTGAATCCAAGACCCTGAAACTTACTCAAAGTGAGGAGCAAGTGTACTTCTGCTATGCTTTCCTTGTTTCCCATATCTATTATTTCTGGACAATTTTTAATAGGGGAGTCATTTTGTGTTGTAGATCTGCATTCTTGATTTTAGTTGTTAATGTTGTGCCATTGGTTTAGGTACTGGCCATATTATTGCTTCAACATGGTATGCACAGCTTATTTCAGCTTCTCAGGTATGCAAGACATCCATCCATTCATCCATCCCTCCCTCCCTCCCTCCCTCCCTCCCTCCATCCATCCATCCCTC